ACTTTCATTTAATATGATTATCAGTTATCAGTTATTATCATATTATCAAAAAATATTTCAGTGATTATTTCGTTCACATTTTATTCTTTAGTATATTTCACTAATTAAATTTTTATTATTACTATTATTTTGCAAAAGATAAATATTGAAAGTACAGAATGATAATAAAATTTTATCACTCATTAAAAATTGATTCATTTAAGAAATGAAATTTCAATGTGTTCCACAATTTACAACTTATTAAATGGATATTTTAAAATGTTATTTGTTTGTAAATATGAACTGAATATTAATTAATAATCAATTTACTTAAATAGATATTTAAAAAAAAACAATTTTTAAAAAAAAAATATTAAATAATATTATTAAAAATTACTTAATTTATAACTTATTAGACTGATAGTTAAAAGTCTTTTTTTTAATAAATATGAACTGATATTAATTAATTTACTGATACTAATTACTAATCAATTTACTAAATAGGCATTTAAAAAACAAATTTTTTTTTTAAAAAAATATTAATTAATATTACTAATACTAACTTATTAGATTGATATTTAAAAGTATTTTTTAAAAATATTAACTGATAATACTAATATTAATTCATTTTCCAACTTACCAATTCAAAATTTTATTTTAAAGAATAAATTATCCATTAGTTAATAGAATCAATTCATTGTCATTGAAAAATGATCAAATTTAATGTTTCCCAATTTGATTACATATATGAATTTAATACAATTTGCGCCACTTCCACTAATTTCATTCACAATTGAATTAATTAGGACGGTCGTTGTTATCATTATTTTGTCATTACTACAAATTATCATTGTCATCCATTAACACTTGCCGAAAAGTGTTGGTGACAGATGACAGAGCTCATTGATTGGATTTATATGGAAAATGATTGAAATTTTGTGGAAAATTAGAGAAGAAAAGAGAAAATGAAAATGATTAACCGTTTGAAATTAATTTAAAATTTAATCATTTATCATTGCATTTTCCATTTGTTATTATTTGGTTATTTGCCATTGTTTTGTTGATTAAAAATGAAGAAATAAACAAATGAAATTCATTCTTTCTGCTATTTTCAGTAATTTAATTAAATTGTGATTATTTATCTTTTATAAACTTAATTAATTAGGAAAGAGTAAACTGATAATAATTACTAATCAGTAAGCATATCTTTTGCATTTTATCAGTTATTTTGTTGCATAATTTTCATTGCATTTTTTCCTACAACAATAAAATTATTTGTTAAACAAATAATTTTATTTCTGAATTTCAAATATTTATTATGTTTTGTTTTCTTTGTCTAAATAATATCAACCAGAAACCTTTTTATTACCATTTAATTAGTTTATTATACAATAATACTTTACAATGAATTATTGTTTAAAAGCCTTTTGAAAATGAAAATGCAGCATTTGTGAACATTCCGGATTTCCTTATTTTATGAATGTAATACCGTGAACATTCCGGAATTCCACATTCCTAGAATGAGTATTTAATGATTACGATACCGTGGATATTCCGGAATTCGTTATTCCTAAGAATTATTATTTCATGAATGTAATGCAGTGAACATTCCGGAATTCCTTCTATTATTTCATGAATGCAATACCGTGAATATTCCGGAATATTTAGTTATTATGAAAAAAAATTTCCATTTCATGCAATGATTTTCTCACTAAAAATAATAATAAATTAGCAATAATTGATTCGAAAAAAAAAAAAAAAATGTTTTTCAAAAAGTTTTACATTACTTTGTTATCAATTTCAAATAAAATTTTCATTTAAATTTTATACAATCAAAATTTATAATTTGTATTTTATAAATTTTAACATTATTATAACATTAAAATTCAAAAAAAAAAGCATTAAAGTTTTATGAAATTGTTAACTAATTTATTCTAAAAGTAAAAAATAAAAAAACAAAAAATTTTGTTTTGTAGAAAATTAAAAAAAATGAAATATATTTTAGTCTTATTAAATTATCATTAAATTGAATTACTCAAAGTTCGCATAAATAGTATTTCTGTTTGATCCGATCAGTCAACTAATTTCATCGACGATTGACCTTGAATGATTGTTGTAATAGTATATTGTCGCTCACTCAATCAAACTTCTAACAATTTATTCTCTTATCATTCATTCTCTTATCATATTCCCAATCCTTTTATCATTTCCAGTAGAGTTTAATTTAATTTGTATACTTTATTTATTATTATCATTCATTTCCTATCATTTCCAGTACAGTTTAATTTAATTTGTATAATTTATTTATTATTATCATTCATTTCTTATCATTTCAATTTATCATATTTTCCTTTTTGTCTTACCTAAAAGAGTAATTTTAAATTTACATTTTAATGCAGATAATAATAATAATTGATTATTTAGCAAATTTAGTGAAATAAAAATTAAAATTTGTATGAAAATTCTCTTTGCTATATTTAATAGCTATTTTTCTTTCTTTTCTTTCTTTTTTTTTTTTTGAAATAAAATCTAAAAGTACAAAAAGATGAAAATTCAATAATTGGGTCAACGAGGAAAAAAAAAAAAGAGTGCAATTATTGTGTTTGTTAAATGTTTTAAAATGAAAATATACTGCCAATTTATTTTAGTTTTTTAGATTATATTTTCTAATTATTTCTTAAATTACTTTTAACAACGAAAAGTATTTTAAAGAAAAATAAACAAACAAAAATTGACAAATGATGCAATTTTTTTAATGCTTAAATAATATTTTTATATCATTAACCTTATTTTCTTCACTTATATATATTTTTTATCAAATTAAATTTTTTTATTTTCATTCTATTATTTTAAATTATATTTAAATTTCACACACAGCAATAATTCATTGTTTTGTGTGAATTTTCAAATATCAATAATATGCAAATCTTTGATCAATAGAAAAAAAAATAACCATTTTTTAGGAATGAAATATCGATAAAATAAAATCGTACTATATTTTAAATTTAAAATTGAAATGAAATTCAAAAAATTTTAAGAGCTAAAAGTCTTTTGAAATGTTTGTTTGCTATTTACTGAATTTGTTTGGTGTGTCAAATAACAAACTGTTTACTTTTTTACAATCAATCAATCAATCAATCAATCGACCGATCAATCGATTAATTAATCATTCATACATTGATTTGTTTATTTACACAGTTGATGGTAAAATTGAAATTAATAACAAAATTTGATGACAGACTAAAATATGCCATAAAGAGAGAAACAATCATTGAAATATAAGTACGATTCGGATGATTTGATAATTTCATTTGATAGAGATGAAATGATATTTGGGAGATAATAAGTTTTCATTTTCAAATAATTACAAATAATCAATCATTGTAATTTTATATCTGAAATCTAATTATTTCACTCTAATTCTTCGATTTTTTTTTTCTCTCTTTTTTCTTCTTTTTCTATATTTGTAATAAAATTTTAAATTTAATTTTCTTCGTCTTTTTTTTTTTTTTTTATTACTATTATATTTTTTTTTTTTAATTAAAAATAAATTTCATTTAACGACAAAGAAAAAAAAAAAAAAAACTTTGTTTGAATAAATAAAAGAAAAAAAAAAAGATAAAAGTATGAGTGTATGCTCATTTAGAATCTAATGGATTTGCATTCTGTTTCATTTATATTAATTAATCAATTAATTGATTAATTAATTAATTAATTAATTGATGGGAATATAGAGATAAGATAGAAAGATTAATAATTTATTAATTGAATTTTTTAGTAAGAGAAATATGCAAAAAGAAAAAAAGAAATGCATTTTATTGATTGTATTAAACAATTACTTCACATAGAATTAAATTAATTAAAATCAGAAATTGGTTTTGATGAAATGAATGAATAATTTAGATATACAAATATTTAAAAAATTAAATTGCAAATTTATAAATTTAAATGTTATTTTTCTTTACTCATAAAAAAAAAATCAATTATTATAAAGAAAAATTTGAGCAAAATATTGATAGATTAAAATATTCTAATCAATCGAAATCAATTAATATTAAGTGAAACAGAATTGATTAATAAATTTTATAATTTGAAATCAAAAAAAAAACATTTTTTACTTAATTTTCATTTTTATTTTTTTTTGAAAAATTTCTGCTAATTATTTTTGATAAAATTATACTTTCGCTATATTTTACTCTGATAAAAATTTTTGCTTTATCAAAATAATCATACATCACACATTGTGATATCTTTTTTGTGAGTTAATTAATTTATAAATTTAAAATATAATTTGAATAACTTTAATGATATAATTTATATTTGATTGGAATATTTATGAAATGCTAAAAATTTCATTGTTGAATAATAAATTTTTGTAAAATGTAACAAATTTATGCAAATTATAAAAGTAAAGTAATTGCATTAAATTAAGAGTAATTTTAATTTCAAAAAATAAAAATAGAAAAAAATTTAGAAAATTTTGGTAGGAAATTTAATGATAATAAACAGGAATGAATTACTTTTGTTGTTAAATTGTTTTAAAATATAATTTCTGTACAATTATTTCATTTAATTTTTGTATATTTGATTAAAAAAAAAAAAAAAAAAAAAAAAAAATGAAGAATGAAACATTTAAATGCAATTAATCAAAATTTTAAAAACATAAATTTAATTAAACAATATAGTTAATCAATCATATTTACTAATTTCAAAGTTGTAAAAGGAAAGAAAAACAACTTTTACAGGTTTTTTTTTTCATTTCTCTCTCTTCTCTCTCTTCTCTCTCCCTCTCTCTCTTCAAATTTCTTTTATTTAATCATACCTGTCCACACTTGTCACCATCAATCATTTCATCTATTGCTTGTTTGGGTTAAAATTTAAAAAATTTTTCCTTTTGTTAAAGTAATTTTCCTTTTTACTCAATTGAAGTCAAAATTTTAAGGTAATAATTAAAAATTAAAAAATGTTATTTTTATGCTATTTCTTTGCTCATTTATATATATAAAGTGATTGGTAAATGTATGGAAGAAATGAAAGGTGAAGTAATTAATGAAAATGTTAATGAATGGATGAAACAGGTATGATATCAATATTGTAAGGACATCAAAGGAAAAAAAAAATGAAACTTGAAAAAAAAATTGAATTAATTTTTTCTGACTTTTTTTTTTTTTTTTACAACACACACAAATTCTCTTCATAATAACTGTTCATTAAAAATTCTTTAAAATTTTTTTTTTTTAAATCAATCTTTAAAAACATTTTAAAATCAATTTAATTAACATTTAAAATTTTAATCCTTCAATTATGCATCTTATGCTATTTTTTTTTTTTTTTTACAATTTGTAATTTTACTATTTTCTAAATTTGCAAAAAACGATATTTACGTACGCTTATGTAACTTATCCAAATGATTTTTTTTTATGCAAATTTAGTTATTATCAGATTTGCATAATTTTTTATTTACTAGCATCTATGATTTCTATAAATAGTATAGAAAAAAAAAATTATATTAAATGATAAAAATAAATTATTTACTTTCTATTTATCCTAAAAATAAATTCCGAATATAAATAAAAATAAATTTTTTCATCTCTCTTTTTTTAAAAAAAAAAAAAACAAAAAAAAAAAAGTAGAAAAAGAAGAGAAAACCTGATTTTAAAAATCTTTTCTAACAATTATAGGTTGGCGTAGCCCAAGCGATTTACGATAATCAATCCGAATGGCCTGACGAATTAGCATTTGAGCGAGGCGAAATTTTGCGCGTTCTTAACGAACGACCTTGTAAGTTTTTTCATTTCATTTCATTTTTTTTTTTTTTAAATTTTATTTTACAAAATTTTTGTGTATTTTAATGGTTGTTATTGTTATTAATAGTTATTGTTGTTGTTATTTATTATTAATTATTATTATCATTAGCAGTAGTAGTAATTAATATTATTAATGCTAGTAGTTATTAATATTATTATTGCTAAAATAATTCCTAAAATTTTGTTACTGTTAAAAACTTACATTCAAAAATTATTGTTATTGTTATTGCTATTTATATTAATATTATTAGCAGTAATAGTAGTAATTATTATTATTATTATTATTATTATTATTATTAATGCTAGTAGTTATTATCAATAATATTACTATTAAAATAATTCATAAAATTTTGTTACTGTTAATAACTTACATTTTATTATTGTCAATGCAATAATTATTAATTTTATTATTGCTTTATAGCAAATAACTTTTGCAACTTTTGGAATTTATTTAATAAATAAAATTAGTGGATAATTCCTAAAAAAAAAAAAAAAAAAATTCTGATTTAAATTTTTATCAGTTTTATTTAAATTAATTAATATCGTATTTCAAATTTTATTTAAATTAGTGCTGAACGGTGATATAATTGGAAATATTAATTATCATTTTTTAATTTATTCATTGATTTAGTCTTGGAGAAACAAATAAATTTGAGATAAAATGTTAATATGTTTTTTTTTTTTTTAATTTATACTGAAAAAAAAGATTAATTTAATATTTGATTTAAAATTTGAAAATCTTTCATAAAAAAGTTGCACGTTTGTTAATAATATATTATTATAACTTTGAAATAGTAGCATTTATGTGAAAAATTTTAAACATTCCTCGAGAAAAAGAAAAAAAAAAGAAAAACGAAATTCAATAATTTAAAAAGTTAATAAAATGATATATTGAAAGGTAGCAATAATGCATACTTTTACAAATAATTTGTAATTTTATGATTGAAAAAAAAAAAAAAAAAATTCTATCAAAGTATAAATTTAAATCGATGAAAAGAAGTAATAAAAAATAATTGTGCTACTGGTTTGACAAAAAAAAAAAAAAAAATTATTTCAACGATTATTTCTTTTTCTTTTCTTTTTCGTTTTTTCACATTTTAAAATGTTCAATTAAAGCTTTAAAAAAGGAAATTGAAAAGAACGAATAACACAAATCAAAAAAAATGGTTCCATTATTTTATTTTATATTTTTTCTTTTCTTTTTTTATTTTAAAAAAATGTTTCACTCATAAAATTGATGTATTTACATGTATATTATGTAATACTTTTTATGTATTTTTTCCTTTTCACTAACAATAATAAAGTGTTTCGCATTTAATTTTCAATTATTAAATTTTCATTATTAAATTAATTAAAAAAAAAACACTCAATTTTCAATTATTAAATTTTCGTTATTAAATTAATTAAAAAAAACACTCAATTTTCAATTATTAAATTTTCATTATTAAATTAATTAAAAAAAACACTCAATTTTCAATTATTAAATTTTCATTATTAAATTAATTAAAACAAAGAAGGAAAAAAGAAAATTTAACTTGTTGAATTACATTATATAATAGAAAATAATAATATTAAAAAAAAAAAATTTCACAAAAAATTTATGCATCGTTTTTTTGTTTTTTTTATTTTTAAATTTTTACTAACAATAACAAAGTGAGTTTTCATTCATTTTTTAATAATTATTATTGTTCAAAATATTTTATACTTATTACTGTAATTATTTTATAACTTAATAATATAAATTCACAGAAAATTTGTACAGCAGTATTATATATTAGGTATTAAATTTAATTAGTATTAAATTTGCTAATTAGTGCTAAATTTATTATAATAAAATAAAAATAATAGAAATACTTTAAATGATTTGCTAATGATTTATTCAGAAAATATGTTTTATTCAATTGTTTCATTTCTGATATTTGCAATTAATTTTAATTGTATTTTTAATTTTAGTAAGAAAATTTCTTGAACTGTAATTATATATTTAATATTTATTACTGAAATTGTTCTGTAAATTTAGTAATATAATTGTTATTGTTTAAAATATTTTATATTTAGTAATAAATTTGTTATTATTTAAAATACTTTATACTCAATAATATAATTGTTTTTTTTTTTTTTGTAATTATTTATTTGATATTGTTTATAGTATTATACACGATGAAATATATATTTCAGTATAGATATACCTTTTGATATATAATATTTAATCAAAATAAAATTAAATAATTGTTTAACTTTTATTAGTATTATCAGATATACCTTTTGATATATAATATTTAATCAAAATAAAGTAAAATAATTATTTAACTTTTATTAGTATTATCAGATATACCTTTTGATATATAATATTTAATCAAAATAAAATTAAATAATTGTTAAACTTTTATTTTCAAATATATTTTACCTACCCATTACAGGTACGAACAGTGGAGTAGGTATTAATACAGGTTGGTGGTATTGCATTAATAAAAACGGTAGACGCGGTATTGTACCGGCAAATCGTCTTCGCATGCTTCATCGATTTGATCAAATTACTTCACCTCAGGTATGCAATAAAGAAAAAAAAAAAAAAGAAATTTTATTTGAGTAAATTAATTTAATTTTCTACCTGTCATTTACAACAGGTAGAAAATTACATTTTCTTCCTTTTTTCTTCTTTTCTTCCATACACATTAAGCAATTTTTTAAGTTTATTTCATGTTGCTTTCTTCTACAATTCAAATAATTTTGCTAACAAAAGTAATAATTTAAATTTTAACAAAAAACAAAATTCTATTTTATTTATTTTTTTGAAATTAAAATTTGAAAAAAAAAAAAAATCTTATGTTCTATTGCTTAAAACAAAGCTTTTTTTTTTTTTCGACATTTCAAGTGCAATTATTTTTGATTAAATTTTTTTTTTTTTACGAACATTTCAAATTGCAATCTTAAAGAAAAAAGTTTAATTTGAATTAATGGAAAAAAGAAAAATTTCAATTAAAGGAAAAAGAAAAAAGTTTCATTTCATTTCTTAAATATTTTTGAAGTGTAAAGAAATTGATTTAAAAAATTTTTCATCCCTCTTTCTCTCAGCTAAACATACATTTTTCATAAAAAGCATTTTAGAAGAACAGTTGTATGCGAAATAATTAGCTGATATGATATCACTTAAGAAACTTTTAAATTTTGATATGATATGATAAAAGACAAAAAATTGTAGTATGAAACTGTAACAAATAATAATACATAAATAATTTCAAATATGTTCATTTGAATATTTGTGATAAGGAGTGATAAGTTGATATAATGATAGAAATATTTATATAAAAAAAAAATGATACAAATGATCACATTATCAATTAACAATTAGTTTAATGATTCAGGAGCGCTTATGATCTTATCAAATTGCACCATAAATTCTTTTTTTTTTTGGTATATTTTATCAGAAAAAGAATAAAAAAAATTTTTTGTTAAATTATCGACTTAACATTTTAATTATATATGTAATATTGCTATAGCATTTAAAATATTTTACATAGCAAATTTATAAATTGTTTACATTATCAATCAATAATAGTTTAATGAGAGAAATTTTAATTAATTTAATTATAATCAATTTTGAAATGATTCCTTTTTATCAACAAATATTCGCAATAATTCTTTCTTTCTCTTTCTCTCTCTCTCTCTCTCTTTCTCTCTCTTTTTTCTAGAAATAACCCAAAATTTATATTAAAATTTAATTTTGTTTTTATACTAATCAATAATTATTGTTGAAATTAAAAATTAATATAAATAAATATTTTTTTGTTTTTTGTTTTTTTTTATAATAACACTCATTTTATTATCAATAATATGTTTATTTGTAATTTCTTTTTTCACTTTTCCTATATTTCTTAATTTCAATAATATCTTTTTTTTTTTTTATTTTGTTTATTTCTCATTCTCGACAAATAAGATTAAAAGTTTATGATTGAAATTGAAAATTTTATGATTTTATCTCTTCTCTCAAATTTTACACATATTTATTAAATTTAATGGTTATTTTAGAGAATGCCACTTCACTTCTAAATGGATTAATGAATTTTAATCCGTCTGAAATTAATCCTTTTTAAATTTTACATTTGAATTATTTATTTATACTATGTGTTTGTATGTTAGTGTCTGTGTCTGTGTATATGTTTATGAGTAATCAATTTATAAATATAAGTACCACTTTAATTTTAAGATTTGTTTACAGAAGTAGTTTTGCTTTATAACTTTGAATGATAAATTAATTTTTTTCATCATTCTTTCATTATCATTTCTATAATTCAATAATTTCATTCATAAAAGCAATTCGTATAAAAATTTGCAAAAATTTTACAATTTAAAAAATTTTTTTGTTTTAAATTAAAAAATTTTCACAATTTGTTTTTTTTTTTTTTAATTTTTTATTATGGTATGAATGAATTATTAAGTGTGAAATTTATATCATAAATTATATTTTTCAATTAATTTACAAAGAATTTATTCGTTTTATATTTTAAAAGATATTTGTGAAACGTAGGAAAGTTTTTTTTTTTTTTTAATTTTATACATAAATGACGTAAAACGTGAAATGAAGTGAGTAAGTTACATTTTTTTTTTTGCAATGTAAATAAATGTTCAACGAATTTCTTGTCAACGAACATTAATAAACATCACGTACGTCATATATCCGTGTGTTGTAAATTCCGCATAAATTCAGTGACTTTTGCGCCATTAGTTAATAAATTGTTTGTTTTATAAGAAAAAAAAAAAAAAGAAAAAAAAGGAAACAAGAATAATTAATGAATGAGAAATGATGATGAATCAACCAAAAACATTCGTATTCTTCTGTCATCGTTTCACTTCTCTCTCTCTCTCTCCCTCTCTCTCTCTCTCTCTCTCTCTTGCAATTCTTTTCAAACAATAATTTAATTTTCCAAACTGCTACATTCGCTTCTTTTTATTTTCTTCTTTTCATCTATTTTTTTCCAAATTTACTTTATGTTTTTGTGATTGTATGAAAGCATAGCTTCCTGCTCTGTACAGCTGTTTCTCGATGAATTTTTCTCGAGAATTTAAAAGATATGAATGGGAGAGAACATTTTGATATTTTCCGCTTGAAGCACATACTTTAGTTTATTGTTTTATTGTTAGAGGAATTTGTTGTTTTATTATTAGAATAAGAATAAAGTTTATTGTTATGATTAAGTAATATTTATAAAATTTTTAACATTTCCGCCATGCAATTTTTTCTATTTTTTTTTTTTTTTTTAAATTTATAGTATTTTTTCTTACTATGTTTTGATTCTTTTTTCATTCTTTCACTCAAAAAACTATCGATTGATTATTTTTTATTTGATTTGATCTTAAAAAAAAAAGAAAAAAGGAAAGTAAGCAAAGAATTTTACTAAAAAAAGTTCAGGAAAAAAGAGAAAAAAAAAGAGTTAAAAGAGTTAAAAAAGTAGAAAGAGTTAGAAAGAGTTAAAAAAGTAGAAAGAGTTAGAAAGAGTTAAAAAAGTAGAAAGAGTTAGAAGAGTTAAAAAAGTAGAAAGAGTTAGAAGAGTTAAAAAAGTAGAAAGAGTTAGAAGAGTTAAAAAAGTAGAAAGAGTTAGAAGAGTTAAAAAAGTAGAAAGAGTTAGAAGAGTTAAAAAAGTAGAAAGAGTTAGAAAGAGTTAAAAAAGTAGAAAGAGTTAGAAGAGTTAAAAAAGTAGAAAGAGTTAGAAGAGTTAAAAAAGTAGAAAGAGTTAGAAGAGTTAAAAAAGTAGAAAGAGTTAGAAGAGTTAAAAAAGTAGAAAGAGTTAGAAGCAAAAGTTTGTTACAAATTAGTTTACACAAAGTTTTATCTTTTTTTTTTTTTTCTTTTTTGCTACTGAAAAAAATCAAAAGATTCCATAAATTATATGAAATTTTTGTAATCTTAGTGAAAATTCAATAAAATCAATCGTTATCGATTATTGAATATATTTTTATTACAAATTAATTATATAATTTGAACTATTCATCTAGGTGATAAAAGTTAGAAGTAAAACTTGATCTAGAATCTAGAATATATAACTAGGATTAAAGTTAGAATTAGAAAATCAAAATTTGATTAGGACTCTTCAAATCCTGTACCTCAACCACATTCTCGATTATAATAAAAATTTCTCGAAAAAAAATTTACAAAATGTTGCTATAACTATTTACGTCATTCTTTCCGTTTGCGTAAAATTATCAGTCACGTCAGTTTTATTAATTCTTTTTTTTTTTTGTCTATTAGTTTTTATAATTTAAAGTTACATTAGAAGTGTTTGTTATTAAAATTATTTTCAAAAATAATTATCATTTTCATTTAATCTCAGTATTATTTAAAAAAATTTTGTTAAATTATTTGAGATTAATTACGATTTCATTTCATTTCATTTCATTTCGTCTTTTATTCTGAATTCATTTTGAATTTGATTTCATATATTTTAGCTATAATTTTCGATCGGAATAAATATGTTTATAAATGTTATTTATGAAAAGAATAATTTTAGAAATCGATCTCATCACCATTTGTTGATAACAACAACAGTCGACGACGGTTCATGTTTAGTAGTACTGGAAGATTGTCACCACCATCCTTTATCGATGACAATAATTCGTTGGCTGATGACATTAGATCACCGTTCACCAATGAATTCATTAATTCGTCTACATTTGGCTCAGGTTTATTTTTAATCACCTTTTCATTTTTAAATTTTAAATTAAAATTCAATTCATGTTTAGACTAACAAAATTCGAAAAAAAATGAAATAATTATTGATCATTGTTTTGCATTTACACCATTTGATCACTTCCTGATATTAATTAATCTTTTATCAGCAAAATTTCTTTTAATGAAAAGCATCGAACTAAATTAATTATTTATTATAATAAATTAGACAATTATCTTTGTAGACAACTGATTTCAAAGTTTGCATTTAATAAATTTACAATTTTATCAAATCTTTTTTTTTTTTTTGCAACTGATTTTCATACAATTCAGTTTACAGATTATAAATTTGAAATGAGTTCATACGTAGTCCAAAAAATAAATTCACACGTGAACTACAAATGAATTCACACGTAACCTGCAAATGAGTTCACACGTAAACTACAAATGAATTCACACGTAACCTGCAAATGAGTTCACACGCAAACCGTAGACCGTAAATGAATCCATATGTAACCTAAACGAGTCGATACATAATCCATGAACAAAATCTACACGTAACCCACAAATGAATTTACAAGCCATAAATAAATCTACACGTAATTCATTAAATGAATTTACACGTAAGCCGCAAAGGAATTCATACGTAAGCCATAAAAAAAAAATTCATATGTAATGCACAAATGAATTCACACGTAAATCATAAATGAATTTACACGCAAACCTCAAATGAATACACGCAAACCTCAAACGTAGTCCATGAATAAATTTACACGTAAACTATTTTTGAACATTACCAATACGTGTTGTGATTACGTTACATCCACTAAGATTTATTATATATTAAGAAATCTCACTGATAAACATACTTTTACTATTTTCTCGTCTTCTTCAGAATCACTATTTGATCGAATATTTCCTTTTTCACCGTTGGAACGTTACAAGGACACTTCCTTACGTCATATGTCTAAGGGAACGTTTGGTTCACCGCCACATGGCATTGTACGAAATATTCCGATTAAGGTGGAAAGTGTAAGAGTTCATTTCATATTTACCATCGATAAGTATCAAATAAAATTTTCCTTTTACTTTTTTTTTTCATTCAAATCAATAATTCATCTTTTATCAGTTACTTCCAATAAAAAGTATATCAGACCGAGAGTTGGCACAGGTACTAACAAATTAGATAAATATTATTTATTGTAACTAAGATAATTTAAAAAATTTTTTAGCAATATTTAGTGGAGTATTTAGTTAAAATTTAATTAATAATTTTTAATTATAATTGAATTTTGTAGCTTAAATTTTCACTTAAAAAATGAGCAAATTTAGTTAAATTTAGTGAATAGATAGTTGAATTTATTAATTATAATTTGATGAAAGTACAATGATATTTTATTCTTAATTTGCTTTAATTTTTCATAAATTTAATTATGATTTTATTAATATCAATTTAATTTTCATTTTCAATATGTAGTGAAAATTCAATTAACAAATGAATCAGTTTTGATTCAAATAAAAATTATCAATTAGTTTCTTGCTTTTTTTTTAATAAGAATTTCCTACTTTGTATTGAAAAGTTTGAATTTTGTGTCAGACAGAATGATTTATAATTAAAATTTCAGTTTTTTTTTTTTTTTTTTTACATTTGAAATAACTTACTAACTTATCTTAACTTAAACGATTCATAGTTAAAACTTCAACTTTCTTGTATTTACTCAATTTATTATAATTTAATTCTTCGGTTTTCTTCATAAATTCATCTTAATTTATTTCTAAAATATTAAATTGATTCTTCTATATTTCAGACACCTTTAAGTGATAATGATAGCGGTTCTGATAAGCTAAAAAGCAACACTCTTATCTTTCCAAGAAATCGTCATTATCAGGATGAACCATCCACTCCTATATTTCCATATTATCAAGATAAGTTCGAAAGGTTAGTAACATTTGCTTTTCTAAGCTTAAACATTTACAATTTATAATAATATGCTATTTCGATTTTTATTCTGAAATTCATCCATTTAATTCTTAAAATTTTAATTTTCACAAAAAAAAAAAAAACATTTTATTTTTACGGTTTTCCTGATTATCCATCCTGTATTCATTGATTCATACTTTAGATATTGGAGTACTCATATAGTTTTATTACTTTTTCATAATTTCATTAATTACTTTAATACAAGTCGTTGCTACAAGATTATATTTTAAACTTAATTTTTATTTTTTACAATTTCAAATTTGCTATATATAAATATTGCATTACAAAAATGAATAATTAATTATCCTTGATATAATTTGAAATGCTTATCTAAAGTTTAGTATTATTGAAAGAAATCGATCTCTTTCTAATTCAAACTAATTTTTATTCATATTTAAAATAATAAATTTTTTCTTATTTATTTTTTAAACAAATTTTCATCTCTTTAAAAAAAAAAAAAAAAAAAAAAGATTAACTAAAAATATAATTTCAAAAGAATTTACCAAATGAATTTGGCACACTTAAAATTATTACACTAAAAAAAATAATTTGATATTATTTTATAGTATTTTTAAACGCATTTATGTCACATTTAAAATTTGATTGTTTGCTGGAAATTTCTTCTTCCATGTTGCTATGTTACTTTTTTTTAATCTAAAATTTGAAGGTCATAACTATGATGACCTTCTTGTATACCTTAAATTTGGATTGCATTTTGTGGTTTTCTTTCTTTTTTTTTTTTTTTTTTACTTTGTTTCATATTTAAGTATTTTAAATTAATATTTATTTATTCATTTCAGTTTAGAATTAGTAGCAAATTTTGATCATTGAAAACTTTTCTTTTATAATTTTTTAAAAAAAATTCAATATATAATCTTTTTTTCTTTTTTTTTGCTTTAAAGTTATTAAAAGTTATGCAAATTAGTTACTTCAAAATTTTTAAATTTCATTTCAAACCATTTGGTCAACTTTAAATTCTCTCATATGATTGATCACTTTGATGACAAATTTCTTTTCTCATTGACAATTATAGAAATTATTGTATTTGTTATACAAAATAAAAATTATCAATTTGCTAATTAATAAAGTTAAAAAAAAAAATTTTTTTTTAAATTTACTTTTTATTTTTATCATTTTTATTTTTAAAAATTTGCATTTTCAGTAATTTTTTTTTTATTGATTTTATATATTTAAACATAATATTAATTTAATTTTCTTAGCTTATCGTAATTCATTAGATTTTATATTAGTAATAATTCTACATAATTCTCGTGATTTCGAGATTATATTGATTATTATAAGTTATTATCATACTATTTTATCTTAATAACTGAAAAAATATATTATAGAATTGTTGAAATTAACAATAAATGAAAAAAGAAAAAAAAACATAATCAAATCTCGAGATAATAATTAAATCTCGAGATACACCATTAAAACATAATCAAATCTCGAGAAACACCATTAATTAAATTATCATATTTTATTAAAAATAATCAAAAAAAAATGCACAACCAATTTTTTTTCTTTTTATCTAAAAACTAAAAATTTTTTTATTTTTTTTTAAATAAAAGAGAAATAAAAAATTAAATAAAAGGGGGAAAAAAAAAAGAGAGAAAAACGTCTATTTGAGCATTAAACATACAATAAATGAATGATATTAAAATTTTAAGTATAAAAACGAAGCAAAGTTTAATGAGAATTTTCAAGGGCAATAAAATTTCACTCTTTGTCATTTTTTCTTTCGATCATTTCATCGTTTTCTAATCATTTTTGCTAAAAAAAAAAAAAAAAAAAAAAAAAAAATGAAATAATCAATAGTTGAAGCGAAAAAAAAAAAACGAAAAACTTTTTAATTTAAAAAAAAAAAAAAAAAAAATTAATTTAAAATTGTCCGTTATTAAATGAAAATTAAAATTTTTTTTACACTTATTGTTTTTATTGTTTTTTTTTCTTTACTTTTTGTTGCTAATAAAGAATAAAAAACTTTTTTTTTTGTTTTGTTTTGAAAAAAATAAATTAAATCGAAAAAAAAAAAGAAAATAAATTTAGCTTAAATTCATAAAATTTTATTTAGATGAGAAAAAAATTCAGATCAAAAATTTGAAATTTAATCATTTTTCTTTTTTTTTTTTTCATTTATTCAATAAATATTATTTTCCCTTTTGTCATCTTTTCCTCCTTTATCTTTTCGTTATCAGTAACTGATAACGAATGATTAATTGATAAGAATTATGATAAATAAATTATTAATTAATTTTTCATTATTTAATAAGAGGAATGAAAAAAAAAAAAAGACAAAAAATGCTTTATTTTTTTTTTTTTTTTGGAAGAGAGGGGGGAATTTGTTTTCCATATTAAAAAAAAAAAAATTAAAAGGTAGAAAGAGAGAGAGAGAGAGAGAGAGAGGGAGAGAGAGAGAGAAAAGAGAATTTAGCTTTCATACAAAATGAACGATTTGCTTTATTTTTTTCATTTGTCACACGTAAAAGTCATTGATCAAAACTTGTTTGTATCATTAAAAAGAATAGTTTTGTTCAAAAATAAATATAAAATTTCCACTTTCGAATTTTCTTTTTTTTTTGAGTGTGTTTCTAGAAATTATTCAACAGGTTAAGTTAACTTTAAACTCTCGAAAGTGTCGAGAATATTAAAGTAATAGAAGTGAGAAATACTGGAACTTGTTCCCTTCAATACTTTGCAGAAATTTCTATTACAATATTTTATTTAAATTAAAAAAATTATAAATTATTGACAAAATTATTTTGCTCGTTTTTCATTGATATAATTAAATTGATTTTAAAGTAATTTTTAAATAAATTTATTTATTGAATTAAATATGTTTATCGATTAATAGAAATTAATTAATTTATGTCAACTTTTTAACTTTGATAGGAATAATTTCGATTAATTGTCAATCAAATTTATTTGATATTTAAATATTTATTGTTATTGAAGCATCAACTTTTCTCAAAGATAATTTAGAAATGATAAAATGAAAAATTTAAAATTGATCGTATCGATTAATTAATCATTTCCAGAATGAATTATTTCTGATTTTATTCGTTCACTAATGCATACTATGACAATGTGACATTTTTACATATTCATAACGTTCAATTTAATTTATACCAAAATTTACGCTTATTTTACACGTCAAATAATCAATGCCATATTGTTTTCACTTTTTTTTTTTTCCATCATTTTTTCAGATTGATTAATTATTTGTAAATTTCATTTAATTAATATTTCATTCACTTGATTAATTAATATAATGATATATTTATATTCTAATATGTTAATAAAATGAAAATTTCAAATAGTATAATTAATTAAAAATCAGTGGTTGTTAATTTATATAAGTTATGAAAAAAAATTTTTTTATTAAAAATATTAAATATTTTTAGTTTTCTAACTTCAACTTAATTTTAATTAACACAAATGCTATGATGAATTATGGTTGAATTAATTCTTTATTGTCCTATTTATTGTCAATTGAAATTAAATCATTTATCATTTAATTAAATCAAAAAAAAAAAAAAAAAAAAAAAGGTACTGTTAAATGAGATGATAAAAATTATTGAATAAATTCATGTATTATTACACTGAAACAATTTTTTGTGATAAATAAATTTAATTCAATTCAATTTAATTCTTCTTTAGCTAATTGAAATAATCTTTATTAATTAATCAAATCTTATTTCGCTAAAATTTTTACATTTTGATTATTTCTCTTCTTATCTATTGATATTAATTCGAAATTACCTTACAAAATTTTGCTTAATTACTAAGCAAACTTTTATTTGAAAGAAAAAAAAAAGATTTAAAAAAAATAGATTTAGTTTAAAAAAAAATTTTTCCATAAATGTCGCCGAAATAACAAAAAAAAAATCTTTCACTTATAACTACATTCATATGTAATTTATTAAATAAGAATTTAAAAAATTTTTTTTTAATTAAAATTTTCTTTAATTGCACCTTTCTTTTGCTTTCAATTCGATTTGCATGCACGATTAAATGCATAAATGCATGCATGCATCTATGTTCCTTGCAAATTTGACAAGTTCCTTCAAGCCATAATTAATTTAAAATTATTAAAGATAAACTTTTGTTTATATTAAATTGCTTCTATGAATTACCACTAATTCGTCTCTTCTTTTTTATTTTTGCACTCTATTAATAAACAGATTTTATTGTTGTATAAAATTAAATTTTAAATATTACTAAATAATTTTTGTTATATCAAGTAAAACACTTAAAAAATTCACCTCATAAAATGAAAAAAATTGATATTAAAAAAAAAAAAAAAAAACTTAAAGTAAATCTGTTTTTTAAATCATTTCTTTTTATTTTCAGGTAAAAGTTTACTTAGCAATAATTATAGCATTCAAAAATTTTACAATTATTTTTCCTTATTTAACCTTTAACCTTTGATAATAATCAATAAAAGAAAATTCTCTAGGTAAAAGACATTTCGTACGATATTCTCCAAATAAAATTTAGTAAAAAACTGACAAAATTTTCCAGTTAAATTAAAAAATTGATCTCTGTTAAATTTTTCAGATCAAATTTACTTTAATTGCTAAATTGTCAAACAAAAATAGGTAAATGCGAACGTTTAAAAATAAAGTAAATAATGCTCAAACGATTAAAATTTTTGTTTGTTGTTAGTTTAGAGGAAATTTAGATGTGAGTGTTTGATGAAAGAGAATAGAATTAATCGATTTGAATGAATTAGTGACCAATGGAAGAGAGGTAGTGAAGTGGACCGATTGAATTAACCGTTCAACCGGATTCACTTCTTAACTTTTCATCTGTCAATATTTTTTCATTTAACTTTATGTTTTTTTTTTTTTTTTTTTCCATCGAAATTATTCTTGAAGATGAACAAAAAAAAGTAAATTTAGCAAAATTAAACTTACTTTTTTCATCAAATTTAATCTTATTTTTTTCACATC